TTTTTAAAAATTGCACTTCAGCTATATCCCAGCTCTAATACATTTTCATACATTCTTCAGATGCATGCTGACAAACGATTACTTTTACATGCTGCAGTTGATTTTGAAGAGTATGCTGAAGTTTAAAATCATTTTGACACCCTTTCAAGTATGGAAAAGAAGTTAATGGTGTACCTTTTGTATTTATATATATATTTATCTAGTTCCATTTTCTTGGCAAGATTTGTTCATGGGGGCTTGCCTTTCCCTTCCTCTGAGGCTGAGAGTGTGTGACTTGGGTTACCCAGTGGGTTTCCACGGCCGAGAAGGGAGCTGAGCCAAGAAAATCCCATGCTTTTGGGTTTTTGGAAATGACTTGAAGGCACACAATGATGACAACCCAGAGATCCCATTTATTGAATGAGTCTAATCCATGTCAATGGAATAGTGCAGGGGTAGGCAACCTAAGGCCCGGGAGTTGGATGCGTCCGCCCGAGACCTTTGGACCAGCCCCAGGCCGGTCCTGCCGCTGCCGCCGCCCCCCACCGCCGCTGTTGCCCGCCATGATGATATTGATTATTGTTGTTATTACGGTACTTGTTCTTGGGGTTTTCTTGGCAAAATCTCCACAGGGGTTTTGCCATGGCTTTTCTGGGGTTGAGAGAGTGTGCATGCATTTTTTTATTTTATTTTTTAATTTTAATTTTTATATTTATTTATTTATTTATTTATTTTTGGTGCTTCGGCCCCCCAGTTGTCTGAGGGACAGCAAAAAGGTTGCCTACCCCTGGAATAGTGAATCTACTCTGGATTTTTGTTTAAAGTTTAAAGGAACTGTCCAAGGTACTGAAGCTCAGCAACATGGAAGATTTTGGACTAAAACCCAGAGCAGATTCATGACTTCCCTTGACGTGAGAGCCACCAGCCTCTCCACTCAAATTGGGATGAAGAACTGGATTTAGGTTCTTCTGGAGGCACCTATAGCTCTTCTACAGCTGTCCCCATTCCTCCGCAACCCTCTCTCTCTTTCAGAGACGCCTGGGCCATTACCCCGATGAGCATTTCAGCGAAGAGGAGCCCAAAAGACATATGGCGGCTTTCCAAGCAAGCTTGGCCGTCATCTCTAAGGAGATTGAGGAAAGGAACTGGGCTCTGCCCCTTGCCTACAACTACATGAATCCGGCGGTCGTGGAGAACAGCATCACCGTGTAATCTCATAGGATCTCTCTTTGCGATCGGTTCCCACTCTGGTTGGTTCTTAGGAAGGACGATCAAGACAGATCTCTTTGTGTTGGCCTCTGGAATTGGTCTGATGTTTATTGAATGTTGTGCTTTAGCAACGGAGGATGGACTAGTGAGCTCTTAGGGTCTCTTCCAACTCTAGGGACTTTATCATTAATCCACTTGTAAGTCGCTCTGATAGCCTTTGGCTGAAGAGCGGGGTATAAATACTTCATAATAATAATAATAATAATCATATGGGGACAAACTGCAAAAATCCCGTGCAGAAATGGGTAGCTTTTCACACACAACGGGGTTAATGTGACATTAACCCGAACAGAAAGTAGACAAACCCCACTTTTTTTTACTTTCGGGATTTTCTGAAAGCAAAAAGGATTGCGTTTTGTCTAGTTTCTGTTCGGGTTAATGTTGTGTTAATTCTCATGAATGCTGACGTCATCTGAAAAACAACCCACTTTTGTGGGTTTTTTCTACTTTCTGTTTGGGTTAACCCTGAATGTTGTCTGAAAAACTACCCGCTTTTGTGGTTTTTTTCCAATTTCAATCCAGTTTCTGCATGGGATCTGTCCCATGGGATAAAATTCTATTATTTGATTTCTCTTTAGAGCTAGATAGTTAGCCATTTTGCATGCTGATTTTTAAAAGGGGAAAAGCAGGGTAGAAATGAAGTGAAATAAATAGTATTTCATGGATAAATAAACCAGCATTCACCTAGAAATGCTGAAGTGGGACATTCATTTGCTACAATCGAGAAATTCAGAATTTTAAAAATATCCAACATGAAGACGGGATGGACATTGTGCTAATCTGGATCATCATCATCATCATCATCATCATCATCAATCATTTTATTTATTAATTTCCTGCTTTTCCTGCCAGCTCTAGAACTCAAGGTGGCTTGTTTAAAAGCAGTTCTAGATAAAATTCACATCACAAAAATATACAAAAGTTAAAATAGGATTATAGTATCATTAGAATACCCATTTTACAAAAGAAAATCTGCATATATGGACAATACATATTATTAAAGTCCCTTTCTCCATGAGCAGTGAGTTTCCTAAGGACTTTCAAAGCAAAAAAGGTCTTCACCTTCCTAGCATATATTTCTATACACACACACATATAAATAGAATAGAATAGAATAGGATCAGTAGCACACACACACCCATATCCACTTATTTTATAACCATGGATTCAAGCATCTACAGCTGGAAAATATTTTTAAAATATATAAATCCCAAAGAGCAAACCTCGATTTTGCCATTTTATATAAGGGACACCATTTTACTATCCATTGTATTTAATGGGGCTTGAGCATCCATGGATTTTGGTATCCATGGGAAACCTGGAACTGTTACGGTCCAAAAATCAGTTATAATTATTTCTCATAAAGCATGG